ACCCCACCATGCTAGGTTTTATCTCTCCATACCGAGGTGTTCGATATCATTTGAAAGAACATTTGAGTAAAACACCTAAGAATAGAAGGGAATTATTCAACCTAAGATATTCTTCTTTGAGATCTAAAATTGAATCTACATTTGGCACATTAAAGAACCGTTTCAAGATTTTATGTGCTAAGCTGCATTACCCATTTCCTACACAAAGTAGATATCATATTGGCATGCATAGTACTTCATAATTTCATTGCAACAGTTGATCCAAGTGATGAACGACTCAACGAGTCCAAATTTATCGAAGATATTGATGGTGAGGTGACAAATAAAAATAGCAGTAATTTCGTTGATTTTACTCAAACTCAAACCCAAAGAGAACAAACTAAATTAAGAAATGAGTGGAAGACTCTTATAGATGACATTGCTTGGGCGATGTGAGTTGACTATTGTGATAACTATAATCATGGTGTAACCACTAAGACCTAATTTTTATATTTGTTGTATTGTTTAAATTATGTATGTACTCTTTAACTCTATGCTTTGCCTTTTCCACTTGTTATATTTTGCTTTTCATTCATGTATTGAACCTTTGCTTATTCTACAAATTATATTGTATCTAACTCTCTCTTTGAATTAGTAATGGCTGATAACACATCATTAAGTGGGAGAGATAATCATAAAGGTAAGGGAACAAACATATCTCAACCTCCACCACCTCAATCTCCTCAGTCCATGCGTTAAAGCGATAGTGGGTATTTTCCATTTCAGCAGTCATATTTTGGTCAACCACATCATGTATTTCTCAATATGCCACTTCATGATGACAATTACTTCCCGATGCACCACCAACCAGGGTCATCTACAAACATGCATTTCTCAACAATGAGGGTTGAAGAACAATATGAACATCGGTTCACGTGGTATTTTGTGATTCTCACTTCTAACATACTTGTTAAATCCAATTACTTTTGGTGAAAGTGAAGGAAATTCATGCTAAATACATGCAAAATACGCAACGGAAGACTATATGTATAATTATGCTATGCATGTAGAGAGCATGAAATACATAATAGGACCATCCTAATTAAATCTAACATAATCCCTATATTAAAGAGAGCATACAAGGGTTATAAAGTCATACTTTTGAAGCGTGATTCGATGGAAGATCGAACAACCCCTAACTCTTGCTCCTTGTAGTAGTAAATCTCCTCGTAGTGGATCTCCAAGTCTTCAAGTGAGCTTGATAAAATTGGAGTCTTCTTGAGACACAAGGCAAGATGTCCACCCCCGGGGTACTTTAAAATCCTACTACTTCCTCTTACTCAAAGATAGCTAAAGTTTAGTAAGAGGAGAGCTCTCTTTTATTCTCTTATGGAAAAAACCCCTTAGCCAATTTTTCATTAACCTTTCCATAAGAAAGAGAGCTCATATTTATAGAGTGAAATGTGTTCATGACATGAATGACTCATCCTATGAGTCATGCAATGAATCATCAAATATCAATGATTAATCTAGTGAGTCATGCAATGAATCATCTTATGAATCATTACATTTCAAAACCATGTGCTAATAAACCATGTGCTCAAACCATACCACTAAATGACTCATCTCATGACTCATTATACATGGTATGTGTATTTCATAAATGAGAATACCAAATCAATATTGTATTTCATAAATACGATATTTTGTAATTTTCCAATCATTGATTAATAAGTCATCATATGACCAAAAAGTCAATGAGTTGACCAAAAGTCAACTGTTGACCAAAAAGTCAACTAGTTGACTAAAAGTTAACTTTATAGGAAAAATACTAGAATTTATTTCCTAAGCACATAGCATTCCGATTTTATCGATATACATAACTGTTTATGTGTATCCGATAAAATCATATATGCGTATCAATCATACGCATCACTCTATAAATTGTGTTTCATAGGATTCAAGTACGCGCTTGGTGTGACTCTAGGGCCCAACTTAAGAACTCGGCAGTGGATCATATCCACAAGTACAACAGAGGTGCTAGCTACACATGAAGACTACCCGGGTATAAGTTGTGATAAATGTCTGCAAGATGCTTACACAATTTTATCAGGACCACTCAGTGATAATATCGTACAGTCCGGTCTCTTCGTCAAACCATGTCAAACTATTAAGCCTAGGGTATGGAAAACTGTCAAACCCCAATTGCTCAATTAGTGTTTGTAGATATTAACTCATAACCTATAAGATCAAAACTGATACTCAGTTTATCTTATTTACCTCGGCCAAGGATTTTCAGGTTATAGTTATATCAAACAATCTTATGACGTCAACCCCCTATACTGGGAGAGACGAATCCCATCTTGGCATCTCAATATCTACTTATGTCTCGGGATGTACCCAACAAGAACCGTTATGCACAACTCGATGAGAACTGTGGTTAGGTAAAAGTCTAAGTACACCTATACTGACATGTAAGATATTGCACTCATGCCTCAGGTCATGAGACTACTATGTACTATATCACTTGAGAACTTCTATTTGACAGTTAAGTATAATTACCAACTAGATGTTCTCAGTGAGTCGTTCAGTCAACTCATTCACTAATGAGTCACCTGTATACTATATCTTGATGTCTCACATCAATGATCTAAGAGATGGATCATCGTCCTTCCAAAGGAAAAATAAAGTATACACTAGTCTTACCAAAGTGATGATGTCCCATTTCAACACTTCATCGACTAGGAACATTTTAGAATATACGTTAGCGACAAATCAGATCTCTTCATTACGATCATATCTGAAATGTCTGATAGTCTAGTATCATTCTAAGGACTTTATCTGTATTAAAATACCAGATAAATCTGACCAAAATAGCATACTATTATTTTAAACAAGGATGTTATATTCATATAGGTCCTATTACAATATACAATTATTGCCTGCAGGGCACCTATATCCAACAGAAAGACCATGGATTGCTTAATTTAGGGAAACTTGTTATTTTTTGGGTTGAAGAACAATATGAACATGTTATTTTTTGGGTTTGTCGAACATTATGATGATAGAACATATTATTGTAATATGCAGTAATTTTTTATATGCATTTGATTTTGGTTGTGCTTCCACTTTGAGCATATAATTTATATAAATATTTGCCATGATGAAGGAAATTATTGTTGAATACTAATTTTTACATTGAACTTTATAACTCACCATATACATGACAACTGAAAAAAATTTGAACGTGAGCAACCTACAATGTATACACATTGTGTTGGATGGTTACTATTGTGGGTTATTAAGGTATTCGGTTGTCATGTCGTGGGTTTTAATTAGTGACTTTTTAACTTTTAGGCTATAATGATTGTCAGATTTTCCGAGATTAGCAACCTACAATGTTTATTGATATTGTATTGGATGCCTAACAATGATGATATTGACTAAGTTCTGAGCCCTCAGTTATAATTTTCATATATACGTGGGTGGTTTATTTTATGTGATATCAATGTTTTCAAATTATTTTTGTGATCATAAAGTCCATTCAAATTTAAACATGCATAAATTAGGACATGTCTAAACTTTGTAATTATAAAGTAGTACATGTCTAAACTCTCATTTTAGCGATTTTAAATAGATTTCTAGTCCATAATGCTCTCCAATACATTCCTTGCTCAGATTGCCTACAATTTCATTGTAACCAACTTATGGTCGTGTGTTAAGAGTTGATTTTTGTTCCACTTCATGTTGGGTATGTCTTTGTAGTAACGACACATCCAATTTCCATTTCGGTCTATATATTGAACCTAACTAAGCTTTTGAAGAATGAATTGCGTATAAGGATGCAGATCGAGAGCAAGATGAAATGTGGGATGTCATGAAATTAGTAGAAATTATGCTGAGAACTAATGATGTAAAATGACGTTTGAGGTGGTTGTGCCGCTCTTATGATGAACTTGGAAAGTCTGGCCACAGAACGCACATTTAGCCTTCTGAGTGATGATCCTACCGTGTTCATCCTTGGTGACGTCTATCTTCTCAAAAAAATTCCACACATAAGATTTCGCCCTTTTAGGAGCTCTTGGTGCAGATTCGTCGCTACCAGATTCAGGATTACCACCGGTAGGAAGAGTAGTTATTATAGGAGGACTCATTTCTGGATCGGTAGGAGATATGTTTCGCTCTTCATAATCAGATCCAGAAGCCATTTGATGGAATGATAAGAAAATATAAGAGATTATAAGAGAGCATAAGAGAGTATAATATTGTATAAAAGAGTATTAGCGAGAAGTAAATGAGTTTTAGTGTGAGGAGAAGAAGTGAAAACCCCCTATATTTATAGAGGCAGCCTCCTAGACAAATGATCAAAATACCCTCAAATTCTAGCTGTTTTTTGACCGTTTTTAGGGGCAAAATGTTCAACACGTAGTTAATGGCCGTTATGGCAGGCCAAGACATAACGATCAGTTTTTTGACCAGGTTTTGGGCCGGGCCAGGGCGCCGCGAGACCGTACCGAAAACGATCATTTTTGACCGGCCGGTCCCAAAAGAAAGAAAAAAAAGGCCCGAAGCCCGGCCCGGCATTTTCGCACAACGGTCCCCAACCTCTGGTAAACCGTTGGCGGCCACCGGCCGGCGAGCCGAGTTTGGTGCCATCCGCCGAAACGGGCACTGTTTCCGGGCCGGACCGCGCGTGTCATCGCCGTTGTTGCGTTTTCGCGGGCCCGGACCCGAGCCAGGGCCCGGATCTGACCCGGGTGTCCGGGCAAAACCAGAGCCGGGCCGGACACCGGACCGCAGGCTTTTTGGACACCCCTACATACACACATAATAATTAATAAAAGTTCGATTCCTATGGTCACATCTTGGGGTTGGTGGACTCACCTCACCAGTGATCACTCCCTCTGAACTGTTTAATCAATTTGTATTCCCCTCCTCTATGGTCTCGGAGCCGTGCAAGTCACGTGGACGTCCGTTGCCATCCTCTCAAGTCTCCCATATTATTATTGAATTTTCCCATTACTCCTCCCATCTCTTCCCCCTCCCCCCTGCTCTTTCGCGATTCTCATCTCGTTTCTTGAAGCTCGTAAACTACTAAAAGACGAGGGAAATGGTTCGAAAACCCAACAGCACCCAAATTGGATCGCTTACGGGTCGGATCCGGGTCAATGGGCGGGCTTGACGTGGCGGGGGGAGGAGGAGGGAGAGCAGTGCTTGGCGCTGGAGTCGGAGGCGCTGGGATTTGGGACGGATGATGAGGATGACCAGCGTCGAAGAATTATCAGGGTTCGAGGCTTTGTTGTTGTTGGAGACCGATCGATGGGAGTCGCCACAAAAAGAATTGGGAAGAGGAGCAGGAAAGATTACGTCTTGGAGATGGACAACGATGAGATGCTCAATTTGTGGAACCATAAATTTACCCAATGCTTCTCTTCTTTTGGTTAGCTTTTTCTTTCCGCTCTTTTCTTATTTATTTAAACCCCTTTTGGGGGTTGAGATCGCGGGACTTAGAAAAAAAAAAACCAGGCGAAATTTCTGTATTTGATACCTTGTCGCTAATTAGAACAAAATTCAGTACCTAATAAAGCTAGTTCCCCAGCCCTTCTGACTTTAGAAATTGGATGTCTCAGATACTTCTGATTTCTTGTTTTTAGTTAATGATTATTTTGTATATCTAGTATTATTTTCTTTTGGGCGGTGCGTAAACTTAGGTCTAAATCCTCACTGAGCCCTCGAATGCAACCTGAATTTCTTTACTTATGAAGCGCTCCAACTTATCATGTATTTTAATGTTCTCCCTGGTTCGGCCATTTATACTAACTTTTTCAGGGCCTTAAAACTACAATGTGAAACATTGTGTTGTGTTCTAACCTTTTTTATCTAAATTTCTTAAACTATTGGTACGTTTCCTCAAGGCATTAAAAAAAAAAAAAAGAGGACAGCGCTTCCTAATGAAGCAGCTATTTTTAACTTCTAATCTTTTTTAGCATTTGTGCCTCCCCTCTTGTTTTCAAGATCATTAAATAGCATTAAACAACTCTTCCCTGTTGACATACTATTTTCCTTTGAGAAAAGTCCACTCTTTATCTCTTCTTTCATCTTTCCACATTTCTTTTATTGCTGCAGTTTGAGCAATGTGTTTGCGAGTCTAACTAACATGAAAAGGACACTTGAGTTTAACAGTGTATTACATCTTCACTGAAATATGAACATATTAAGTAAATATTATGTGTTGTTATGACATAGGTCAGTCCTTGCTCTGCTGAAGTTTATATCTTTATGTAACAGGCCGGCCAAAGAGGTTGTTTATCATTCTTAACCCTTTTGGCGGGAAGAAATGTGCACGAAAGATCTTCCAGAATGAAGTCAAGCCCCTGCTTGTAGCCGCCGGTATACTCTACACGTTGCAAGGTTGGTAGCCTTGTAATATATGATTGATGGTTGTGCAATCTCTTTATGGTTTTCTTTGGCAAATACGATCTTAAAGGGTAGCAGTAATGTTCTCCTGTAGCACCTTGATTAACAAAGTGATATCCGTGATCTTTCAGAAACCAGGTATCAACTTCATGCTCAAGAAATTGCCTATAAACTGGATCTTCTAAAATACGATGGAATTGTATGCATCAGTGGAGATGGCATATTGGTGGAGGTTAGTGATTCATGTGACGTATTAACAGTCGGGACATGAATTTATTTGTAATGTTAGCTTAAATTTCTACTTCAAGCTATTTTTTTTTATGTGAAAGTTTTTTGACCATGTTAGAAAGGGCAATATGTTTGGATCTACCAACTGGAGAACTTGAAGAAAAGGTCTGCCGTAGTGTCAAACTGACAACTAGTGATTTAATTAAGAAGGGCCTTTTATATAACACACCTCAAGAAGGCATACTTTTAAACATCGCCTTTCAATCTAAAGCATATATATGATACATAAACCAACTTGCAAAGTGATTTTTCGAGAGGTTTTGTAAGTAAATCAGCCAAGCTTATTAGCAACACGATACATGCTTTATCTCAGCGACTTTGTGATTAATCACCTTTTGTCGAATAAGATAACAATCTTCCCCAGTGCATTTTGTTCTCTTATGAAATATCAAGCTTAGTGTAATATGCCTGCAATATACTCTGATTGGGAGGTGGTATATAATTATAACCAAACTGCCAAATGTCTGTTCTCTCCAAAGCAGCTCGTGGTAGTATCTAGTAGGGCTGGATAATCCAACTTTACACTCAATGTAGAAACTACGGCCGGTTTCTTACTTCTCTATGACATGAGATATATATAGTGGATCTTCTTTCAATCCGTGACTTTAACAATTTGAATCGGAAGAAGATCAGTTGGATGATGACTGTCCATGGATGGCATGTAAGAGAGCACTATGTGGAGCACTTCTCAAATGCCAGAAAATCCTAATAACAGCATGTCAAAGGATTGGATTAGCTGGCCCAAAACAGTCATGGAATATGTAATATTTGTCCAAATTACCATTAAATAATGTAGTTTTCATATTAGTCTCATATATTGAATCATCAGATAGCTCATCCTAATCTGACAGAAGTTTGGAATTTTTGTCCACCAGAGCATCTGCTGGCTTATCACCCATCATTCTTTTTATCCACCTCAGTCTATGTTCAAAACCACCTAAGTTTTCTTTGCTTCCTCAACTATAATTCAATGAATTCCTTCTAAGTAGAGAACTCAACTTATCCAATGCTCATGATCAAACCATCTCCAAAGGTTCTTCCTCATTCTATCCTTGATTTGCAATACCCCTAACTTCCTGAAGATCCTTATTTATTATCTTACGTTTTAACTCATGAGCTACAACATTCTCAATTTACTGATTTAGAATGTAGCAATAGGGTGTTCTTGGTTATATCCTTGAATCTTGGTAGAACAATAGCTTGGAATAAGTAGAAGCTCAATCCCTTTTGCTATAGATAAAACATTCTATTTAAGTATTTTTCATGCAGAATGCTTGGTATTGCCCTGCATCATCAATAAGTTGCAATTAAATGTCAATCTACTTCTGTTAAGAATGTTGACATCTGTTACTGCTTTTTAAATTTTAGTAGCTCTATGTGCTATGTTTTTGAGGGGTTCAAGTTATTGTGGTTTATTTTTTTCACACATTACATGTAATTAATCGGTAACTTTATATAGTTGCAGATATGTATGAGACTATGGGATATCAACATTCATTTTGGTGCAACTTTCACCTGCAATTTATATATATGCTCTCTGCAGCTTCCTTAAAGAAAAACCAGTGGCTGCTCCAACTGCTTCTGTTGAACTCTTTTTCTGTTTCTAACTTGTGTTCTTTCCTGCTCTGAGTAGATAGTAAATGGGTTGCTGCAAAGAGAAGATTGGGATACTGCAATCAAGGTGCCCCTTGGAATAATTCCAGCAGGTACATTGCCATATTTTCCTAACATGCAATCTTTAACCATATTATACACTATTAGATGCAGTAAGTTGTGCCAACATAGCATAATAGCTCGGTCGTCTAATTAATGACTATGTTTCGAATTTGAAAATGGGCTGAATTTGGGACAAAACCAGTGAATACTCAACTTCTGCAAAATTTCCATTAATCATGACATCGCCACCCCTAACTTGCACCATGTTTACATTACACATGCACTAAGGTTCTCCCTTGATTCATTCTTAGTTAAAGCTATCTTAGCTTCTTGCATATGCACTAATCTTTTACCTCGCAGTTAACAAATTTCTTCTCACCCATCTCAAATGTTCATTTCAGCTACAATTATTTGCTGATAGTGTCTCTTCCTTTTCAGACTTCTATCATATAACTCAGTTGTTTGACTAAACTGCAATACCTTGCACATTGTGGTTTCTTTTTTTCGCAATTAATCTTCCTATATTTAGAAAGTGAAGAAAAAAGATATTGGTAAAGGAATTCTCTATAATCCTTCTTATTCAAAGATTCTTTTTCTATTACTCTTCATTTTGAGTTTCCACTTTTACAAGAAAGTGACTTGATAGGAAAAAAAGTAATTTTTCATATGTTAACAAAGGATAAATATCTATATGTGGAAAGAAACTCTTGGATGAATTCTGCTTTCTGTCAGTGAAACTCTTAGATGGACATTTTTGCCCTCTTTTCTTTTCTGTGATCGCTATTATATTTTATTTTTAATTGACTTATAACAGAAACTATTCCTTGCATTGTATATGAAGCACAGACACGCATAACATGAAGCCGTGTCGTGTTGTGTCCGTGTCGGACACACGTGTCGAACACACGTATCCTATGTATTTTTTAGGATTTGCCTCGTGTCGGCGTGTCGGATGGCCGTGTCGGATCCGTGTCCGTGCTACATATTTGTACCTTTTCAAACCCTCATGCTTTCATCCATCAAGATGTTCCCCCAGCACAATAGATACTGCTTTGCCTGCTCTTACTAGATAGAGTGAGTGACATCCAGGACAGGAAAGGAGGTCCTCTGCTCCCTTCTGGAAAGGCGGGAAGCATCCGGCTTGCTATGGCTGGAAGCTTCCAGACTTTTTCTATTGCAAACTTTTATGGGTCATTCTTCTAATTATCCTTTGTGTGTGTATGTTGGTTGAGAGGAAGGGGTTTGCAGGGGTAGGGTGGAGGTAAAACACGGGACCTAAACAGAATAAGATAACATGATTTAATTAATTTTATTTTATTGTTTTATGTGCATATTTTAATAAATTACAAGGTGTTAACGTGCTGTAAACTTCTTTCTTGGGAGTTACGTTCTTTCTGGTTTGAAAGTAACTCAATATGAATGTAAACATTTTTTCCCCTTAATTATCTTCATGTGTTTGCTTTAGGTTTAAGTGGGGAAAAACTCACTTTTATGAACATCTTACACTGTATAGCTCCATTGGTATGATTTATGTCATCAAGTATTTTTTTTTTGATCTAGGGTATTAAATGCAGGTACAGGAAATGGCATGGCGAAATCACTTCTTGATGCAGTTGGTGAAAAATATTCAATCTCAAATTCTGTGTTTTCGGTTATCAGAGGTCTTTTTTTTTCAGTATCTAGTTTCCAAACTTTCATTCTTTAAGATAAATCTTTTCTTCAACACTGCTTGTTTACATATAGGTCATAAACGCTCGCTGGATGTTACCACTGTCATGCAAGGAGTTACCAAATTTTTTAGTGTTCTGATGGTTACATGGGGTATTCAAAATCTGAGACCTTTGTTTTAATTTTCAAAAATTTCTGTATTTTGCTTTCTAAGGATGAGTTAGTTTGTGGTTTGGGGAGATTAGATTAATTTCCGATTGTGTCTGAATATGACTTTAATACTCTCTGCAGGTTTTATTGCAGATGTTGATATTGAGTCTGAGAAGTATCGATGGATGGGAAGTGCTCGGTTAGACTTCTATGTGCGTACATTTTATCTTTAATGGCAGACTGTACTTAGACTATAGGCTTTCAACTCGTTTATTCCACTCAGTTGAAAGCTATAATGATAACAATACAGATATTTGATTCAATATAGCATGGAGTAGTCCAACTTATTTTCCTTTCCAGCATTTGCTTGAATGTATAACTTTGCCACGATAAAAGAATCTATTTATGACTTACATTACCGTAGTCAACTGCAAGTGGCAGACCATATACATTTTGAGTCATCATAGATTGCTAACTCCCATAGGTGCTTAAGCTTCTTTATTGCATAGGTACCTGAGGGTGTCTTTGGAGTTCCTTTTTCTTAGGTTAAATGATGTGAAACGGGACAGAGCAGCGATTTAAATCAAATAATGCATCATTTCACCAAATTCCATGATCTTTGGCAGGAAATTAAATTCAAAACAACTAATGTGACAGATGGATTTAACGAAATTTGCATCGATCTTTGGCAGGAAATTAAATTCAAAACAACTAATGTGACAGATGGATTTAACGAAATTTGCATCAATAATTATGAATAATTCCAATCAATTCAAAACAACTAATGTGACAGATGGATTTAACGAAATTTGCATCAATAATTATGAATAATTCCAATCCCGATCAATTTAGCTGCAATATTCATTATCATGCTCAAATTCTACAATCAATATCAAATTTAAACAATCGTATGATCAATTACTCTCAGGTCACATATAATTTAAGCAATGAATATATGATAAGAGTTTAGAGGTGGAATACTCATGCAATTAACTAATAAAACGAGATTAACAAAAAAAATAATTTACTGGGCTGTCAAGTGGTGACGGTCGACGGATGAACAGGCGACGACGATGGCGGCGAACTGAGCGACGACGATGGTGACGAACTGAATGACGACGAGGTCGACGGGGCTAGGGCGATGTGATGACCCGTGGGTAGGCGGCTGTGGAGGAGGGGATCAGGGTCGGTTGCTGTTCAGAAGAGGCAATGACGCAAACGGTAGGCTGGGGGTTTTGCAGTTGATGTAGAGGTAGTAGGGAG